CTATAGGGTGTCTATATTTATTCTCAATCAAATAATAAAATGGAGGAAAATTTAAAATACTCCCAACCTCAGTTGGCAAAATGTAACTCAAGAAAAAGCATCTGATGCCAGCTTATACAGGAGTTTTGAGGGTTTTAGTAGAGAGTTACACGGATAGACTTGCCTCAGGGTAGATTTTATAATTCAGCAACAGTTTTTAAATATTTTATTCATTTATTTGTATTAGTTTATGGGGAGCAAGTCAAGAACTAATCACTTCTTATTATCCAAATTTTCATTATCATCTCACTGTTACTTACTAACAGCATAGCGGAGGGAAGTATAATTTTAAGTATTCACATGCCCACCTGGATGTGAGGGTTTAATTCTGAAATGCTTTTTCACAGTGACTCACCACCATTAGTTTTCCAGAAAGGACAGTTTGAGGAACACTCTTGGTCGGCTGTGTGAGTCCTCAGCTGCTAAAAACCAACGAGGAAGGACCTGGGGAAGAGGCGAGGGCAGTGGCTTTGGCGCCTTTCAGCCTCTTTTACCTTGGCCATTTTCCTCCCATTTGCAAAGCAGTTACACAGAAAGAGCAACCAGACAGCAGAACCGAACCTGTGGACAGATACTGAACAAGGTATCTCCAACATGAATCTGAGGTGGGACAGGCCCCCAGCAGGCACAAAACCTGCAGGAGGAAAGAGAAGGAAGCGAAGGTGCCTGAGAGCTGGAGAACCTCAAGACAGGCCCACAGGTTTTCCGTGGACGGCTAGCAGGGCCCGTTCTGGGGCAGGGCTGGGGGCCTGGCGGGGCCCGGGAGGCCTCGGGGTGCTGGGGCAGGGCTGGGGGCCTGGCGGGGCCCGGGAGGCCTCGGGGTGCAGTGCGAGGCCTTTCCCCGGGGCAGCCTCGCACTGCGCGGGCCTAGGACTCGCACCAGCGTCCGCAGGTCAGAGCCGTGGCGATGGCATAAAGAACTGGCTGAGTCCAAAGTGGGGGGGCAGCGCCAGGGAATCCCCACACTCAACTGCCCTATTTTCGAAGACCCCACAAAAGCAAAATAAGTTAGAAAGGCTTTTCTGATTTCCACTTCATTCTAAAAGTTTAGCAAAACTCATTTCAGAGAAAAATACACGGAGCAACAAAAACCATCAAGATCCAATCTCACCTAGAGCAACTGTAAGAAAAAGGGAACAAAATAAAATCACTACAAGTAGAGCACGACAGAAATAGGTGCTCATTGAGTAGGCCCAAACGGTAAGATGCTGTTTGAAAATAAGCGATCCACCCTTTCCACCCCGAGGGCCACGGTGGGGCAACAGCTTCGTCAGGCCGCTGGGGAGAAGCTGAGCATCTGGTTGGGGACTCGTCTATGCGCACGGGGGGTTGGGTGGGGATTGGGTACCTGGAGTCGTGGCCATGGCCGCCGCCATCTTGGCTCCATCTGCTCCTGGGCTGCATCCGGGCTACAGAGGAACGGGCAGGAAGTAGGAGGGAAGGCCCGGAAGTAGGACGGAAGGCCCGGAAGTAGAGAAGGCCCGGAAGTAAGAAGACCCAGTCATGAACTTGACTGTAGTTCTTTCTGGACGTTCAAAGAGCTAGAAATTTTTGCTTCCCCTTTTTCTTCTCTAGGCAGTGAGGTCTGTCTAGTTAGTTGTAGACTGGCTATTTCGATATAAATTTTGCAGAAATCAGCCACAGGGTATCTTAGCAGCGCTTGATTTAAACTGAAGGGGAAATGCAGAGTGTAATCCCAAGAGAGCAGCTTTCTCTTGGCTGAGCCTGTAGGTCTGAACCCCTGACCGCCTCAGGTCAGTTTCCTGCGGCTCATAAAAGTGATGACGCTCCCGCTCCCTTGGAGGAAAAGAGAGATGGCAGGAGGGCTGTTGGGAGGCGCGGGCATCTGTGCCAGTGCGCGCCCCTCGTCTCGTCGTAGGAGAGCTGCAAAACCTGCTGCTCTTTCTTTTTTTTGTACAGAAATATATGAAGACCTAGTCTTTCAAGAAATGCATAGATTTAAAGTATGGGGCAACCTGTGTAGTAAGGAGCGGCCCTTCCAAGTTCATCTTCATGCCGTAATGTAAACAGCTACTTGCTTAAAAGAGAAAAAGAACCGTGTTGCACCTCGCGTGAGGACACAGTTGAGTTTGATTATGTGCTTATGAGAAGTGGGTGGTCCTCATTTTCATTCTTTACAAACCATTGCTCTAGCCCTTCAAAGTGGAGAAATATTAGGAACTGTCGCCACATAGCAGATTTGACCAAATATGCATAACTAGCTTTTAACTTTTTTGGTGGGAAAATAGGCTTAATTCATTTTCTTGGCTCTTATCCCAACGAAAGAATTACATTCTGCTGAACTGAATATAATATCTAGTTCCCACGGGATGAATTACGTTTCGCTTTTTCTTTTAATATTGCATAAAGTTTATGGCAATGCTTTTGGTGCCTTTAGAGTACAACTGTTGGTGGTACTGTTTTTCCGTGATGTGAAAATTGATGAAAAAATAATGTGCCGTTTCTGTATGAGAATGATGAACTAATTTTTTTTCAAATATTAAATGTGGGCGTTGTATCAGGCACTCACATTTCATTCCAGCCTCTGCTACCACGTTTCGGGAGGCAGGTAGGGGTTTATTTGTTGGTGGGTTGATGTGGCTTTGTCCTTCCATGTCCTAAGTTTATTCGGCCAAAGAGTGTATCATGTGGAATCGGACTTGCACTCTTGAATGGTGTGTCATGTTTTTCCCTCGCAGGAGTTCATGTTGAATCCCAAATATAGATATGCTAGATGAACACTATGCCAAGGGAAAGAAGCCAGTCTTAAAAAAAAAAACCCATATATTATGATTCCATTTATAAGAAATACCCAGAATAGACAAATCCATAGAAAGAGAAAGATGAGTGGTTGCCAAGGGCCTGAGGGGAGAAGACAGTGCGTGAGAGGGAATAACTGCTATGGGTACAGGATTTCTCTGGGGGTCATGAGAATGTTCTGCAATTACATAGTGGTGATATTTGCACAGTTCTGTGAATATACTAAAGGCCGTTGTATTGTGCACTGCCCTGGCCAAGCCAGACGGGGTGAACAGCCTGGTACCTTGTGCACGTGGCGTTTCCTTCCCCATTTCCCTGTCTCAGGGGCGCCTGAGCTGAAAACCTGGATATGGCTCGAAAGCCACTGACCTAAGAGATGAAAACCTGTATGCTGCCAGATGGAGATGGCCCAAGTAAAGGCTGGAGCCCATTACTTTATTATTTCCCCATATATTAACAGTGTGTTAAGAGCAGACATGGAAATTAATGAGGTCATAAATGTTTATTCTTGCTTAGGGGCCTTTTGTTTGTTTGTTTGTTTTACATTTCTATCATGAAAAGCTTCTTTTTTTTTTTTTTTTTACCAAAACATTCGGGGTAAATATATTCATAAACTTAATGATCTGCAGTTGGCATATCCATCATAAAAGGCCTAAATGTCCTTTAGGGCAGGCGATGTGTCCTCTTGTTATTCTCAGTCCCAGGCTTTTCTTTTCTAAAAGCTTCCTCTTTACTCCCAACGGTATTCTGCTTATTCCTCCTGTTCTGCCTGGTTAAACCTTAACACCCCCAAACGGTCATCTCGCATAGCAGCCCTTTTCCTCTGCACAGGGCCCCACATTCCTTTTCCTTTCGTCAATAGCTGCTTTTCTGTCCTTCTCTATTTACATTTAGGAAGATCCGTATCCATAGAACTATAGGTTATTATATAGTTCTTTCTCAGAATTACTCAGGAAGAGATTTGACACTGTGGGTCTGGTGGTCAGGCCTAGTGATACTGTGGACTGTCTTCACTATACTTCTTTTCTTTCTAATAAAGTGGAAATTGATGAACTGTAGGTTATGAATAGCTGGGACTTATTCATGTTTTCTCTCTGCTCTGCAAGCCTAGAAAGTCAAAAGTTCCCTTAACGGTTTACTAGAAGCAGACATATTTAGGTAGAGTAGGAGCAGATAGCAGTTAATACAACTACATAAAGGCTGACTCAGAATTTAGTTTTTTAAAAATAATAATTATATATTTTTAAGCTTCTACTTGCAAAACAGTTTTGTATGAGTCTTGGGCATGCTGGTCATGAAGGAAAAGATGGACTAGGGAGGGTGCAAGAAAAGGGGGTCAGGCAGCAGGTAGGCCAATGTGTTTAGCACTCAGTTTGTTATTATGGAAAAGTTCTCTGGTTCTGTTTTGTAAAGAGATTGGAGTGAGGTTTGTCTAGTTGTAGATTGGACAGCCAACAAGGAGCCAAACAGCTTAGGCTTTAATTCAGTTCTGTGCAGGTAATTAATGTAAATATTTTAAACACATCTGCAGAAAGACAGAATGAAGTTGGTGTCTGTATGACATAGTGCAAATAAAAACTAGAGTTGGTGATAGAGAGTGGAAAACTAAGTAAAAATTTAGTCCATGTCAAAACTGGATGTGTTTGTATGGCTGGGAAAGGACAGAGAAACCGATAATCTTTTTGACGATATAGGGTAGGAGTGTGATGCTGCTTTGCCTCTTCCTAGTGCTTTCGCTTTTTCCCGACCACAGTATTTACCAGCTTGTGTGAAGTCAGCATAGGCTACAAAGCTCACCCTTGTTCCTTCGCCTTGGTTAAAACCATATAATATCCATAGTACTTCATCACCCCTAAATGTTTAATAGTAAACTGCAACTTTTTTATAGACAGGAATCAACCAATAATATTTCCAAAAATAATTTTAATTTTTAGGCCAATTTTTAAAGTATCGGGCAAAGAAGCTGGTTATGGTTTATTTTTAACAGGAAATAAAAAATTATAAACTAGTTGCTGGGCATATTTAATGATGAGTCCTGGTTACCATGTGTTTTCATGACATTTTGTGTTACCCCAAAAATCCATAAAGCTACTAAAAGTGTTGTCATTTAACTGCCTTCACTTACACCTGGTCTGATTTATTGTAGAAAGTTTTCTCCTTCCATTTTAATGAGAGAAGTGTCATTTTTTTCAACCTCATAGACAACATCTGGGGAAGATGTGCGGGACTTCACCAAGGTGCTGAAGAATAAATTCAGATCAAAGAAATACTTTGCCAAACACCCTCGGCTTGGCTACCTGCCTGTTCAGACGGTTCTCGAGGGTGACAACTTAGAGACGTAAGTTTAATTTTAATATTAGAACTTCTGTGTGCTTATATCTGATAGTTTCTTTTATTATGTGAGTGACACGAGAAATTGACACCAAAAACTCTCTGTGTTTTGGTAAAATGTTTCATTTTAAAGGAGGTAAATTAAACTGAGGATCAGTCTTCACAACATGAATTTTTACTCTTTGCTTTGAGCAGTGTTACAGCTAAAATTTCCGGTTTAATTTTGCACTTGTTCCTAAACTTTAGAAATATGTGTTAATGTGTTAACCTTTGCATTGGTTATCTCTTTTCCTGTTAAAAATACTGAAAGCAAATTGTGGTATTATATGTTCTTTCGTTATTGTATTTATTTTCAATTTTCCCTCTTTGGGGGATGTTTTACTATTTCTTATAGTGTGTTTCACACTTATTTTGTATACTTTTAATATAAATTTATTAATAATACTTAATCTCTTGCTTCAGATAGCTACCTATTCTAAAATTTCATCAAAATCTAACATTACCTTTCTAATTTCTTTTGTCTTGAACACAAAGGCAGCAAAATGAGATAGCTTTATAGAATACATAAAACAGACACAACTTCTTTAAATGTTATCATTTAAGTTCACAAGCATATATGAAACAAAATTTCAAGGAAACAAAATTACTATTGGATTTTAAAGCAAAGAAAAATAACAATTAATAGCCTGAAATGAAAAGAAGAATTTTGAAAATGAGCTGGAACAAATTCAAGAAGTCATTTTAAATTATCAAACAAGAAGTAATTTTAAATTATAAAGATCAAAAATGGATATGATTTAAATCTTTGAATCTTTAGAATATCAGCATAAATATAATTTATGGCAAATTCGTGTGTGTGTGCTTGAATCTTGGGGAAAATTAACTTTAGTTCCTAGTCGTAAAGAATAGTGAGGTTCTCGTTACAGAAACACGCCCTCCCAAGTGACTACTGACAAGCTCAGAAGCAGGAAGTGTGCAGTTTTGTACATTACACAGTAGAGAAGATTGTATAAAAAGTGTTTCAAGAACAATTTTTGTGAAGTCAAACTTTCTCGAACCTTTACAACTCCTAGAGACATAATCTGAGAACAGTAAATAGCCAGTGTATTAGGCCACTCCATGTCTCAAAGATGCCAAAAAAGAGGGATAGACTATTTGGTCTGAATTTATTTCCATATAAAGCCCTGCAGGCCAGGGGCTTTGATACATTTATGTGCAAATGTATTTTTTATTTGTGGAACTGCTAAGAAGTAAAAGAAAGACCACAGCCAAAGCATAGTGGATGTCTTTATCCCATTATAGGCAGTATTATGGTTGTGTATATAGAAATATAATGCAGCTGTATATGTAAATAGGTCCAAAAATACCATGTACACATCGAAAGCATATGAAAAAATCAAACTTTTTGATAACTTTGCTGATATCAAACTGTGTACAATTAAGATATATGGCTCCCAGTCATTTTTTCCACACTACACATTAGAACAAATTTTAGTAAGCAACTCCAATTCCAAGAGAGCTGTTCAAATACTTAAATCCATAGGAAAGGTGGTTTTTTGGGTATGTTTTTGTCCTTCATCAGGTAGTATGACAATACATTCTTATTTGTTTTAGTGTCTAATATATAGTGTAACTGAGCTGAACACCTCAGGAGAAAGACAAAATTTTATGACTCTTAGGATCAGATTTAACTCATCTTTGGAGTAGCTGCGTGAAGCATAGAATTATGACACTGCTTTTATTTACAGGATAATTGATAGGTTTGAACTGGTGATATGCATTTCACTCCTTTGCTAAATCATTGCCATTTTGTGCCTCAAATATCCATGTCCTTCCTATGAATCGTGGAGATAGATCTTTTCTAGTCCTTTTAAGTCGTTTTGATAATTTGCCTTTCAGTTGTCAAAATAATCGTTGGCATCCATCATTCTATTCTGAGTGACTCAGTTAAAGTGAAAAAAGATCAGAAAAACATTCCAATAATTTTGTGCAAGGATTTTTGGCTGTAACTCTGAAGATGCTTCATTTCACCTCACACAAATTTACCAGCATTTTCAGTGAGCGGAAAACAAGAGAAAGAAAGAGAGTAGAAGATTAAATCAGATGTCACAAGATGCATTTTGAGAAAGATTTATGAGATGCTGTTTAGAGTGGGCAGATTTTCTTCTTTTTTTTAAATCCTGAAACGTGTTCTTGTACTTGGTATAGTTCATTTTTCTGCTGAGCCCTTCGTAGTACAAGGCCAGTTAATCTTCTGGTGTAACAATTTATGTGAGTGGGTAGTAAAAGAGTTTGATTTCGTTTATCCTGCTATTTGTGGGAGGAGAACATTGGAGAAAGCCCAGCGAAGTGGTAAATGCCTTGAAGTTATTTATGAAGCTGATTAGAATTTCCTTCTTTCTCCTTTATCACTGCAAAATGTAACGTCTTATCCTCTATCCAGTAATTATACTTGGATGAGTGGAGGGCATTTATGGGAAAAATGAGTTATTACTAAAAGAAGGTAAACAAACCCATGCCTAGGTGTTCAATTAATTTTATAACCCTGCAAGATTTCTCAAAAAATAAATCAAAATAAATGAGGAGAGCTTGATTTAAAAGCTACCATTGAATATAATCCCGAGAAATAATCTAAAATAGTGGCAAAAGGAATTTGAGAATTGTGAGAGATTTTTATTGATTAAAGTTAGACTGCTTTCCCTAAATTTTACATTATATAGTAGAGAAGATTGTAGAAAGAAGTATAAGAGGTATAATGGAGCCCGGCTGGCGTGGCTCAGTAGTTGAGCATCGGCCTAGGATCCAGGCCATCGGGGTTGGATTCCCGGTCAGGGCACATGCCCGGGTTTCAGGCTCGATCCCCAGCAGGGGGCGTGCAAAAGGCAGCCAATCAGTGACTCTCTCATCATTGATGTTTCTCTCTCTCTCCCTCTCCCTCCCTCTCTCTGAAATCAATAAAGACACATTAAAAAAAAGAAGAAATTACCTTAAAAAAGAATTAATGTAGACACCTAAGGTTGAATAGATAAATTGCATGGACTTTTAAATTCTTACTGTAGCAAAAACCAGCTCACGATAAATGTACTGATGGTCCTGGGAGCACTGTCCCAAGAGGAAGTGACAGCTAAACCGTGACCTGAGAGATTTAAAGGGCATTCAGTGATTGATGTGGGAGGAGGAAAGGGCGAGTTTTGGGTCAAGGGAAACATTTTCAAAGGCTCAGAGTCAAGATCGTTTTCGAAACTGGGACGGGAAGCTGGGAATAGTGGCGAGAAATAAGAGTGAAGAAAGAGGCAGGAACCAGAAAATGAAGGGCCCTGTACGTCATGCCAGGGTGTTTGGAGTTTATCCTCAGAGCCCCCGGGAGCCATTGAAGGTGTATGTGTTAGAGGACGAGAGGACGCCACGTACCCTGCTCTGGGACAAATGGGTTTAACAAAGCAAAAGACTGGAAGCATAAGGACTAAAAGAGCCACAAAGTTCTTCAAAGAAAGTCTGGGTTATATTTCATATACTGTTAAGTATATTTAATAGAGTGTGGTTCCTTGCATATTAGTGGGTGATTAATCAGAACACCCTGTTCAGCCACTACTCTGGAAAGCAGGGAAGGCTTTATTAAATCTAGGCTAACACACAGATCGATCTTATTTTTAACTCCATTTAATCAAAGATTCTAACTGTGCAGTGAGAATATTGCCTTAGTAGTTTTTTTTTCCCTTCCAGAGTTAAATGAGAAAGCTTATCACCTAAAGGTGTTTTCCTTTTTTCCTACAAATCAAAAACTTTGAAGTGAATGAAGCCTTAAGTTTAAGTTTTTAAAATCTTTCTTTTCTTAGAAAATGTTTCAATATATAAAAAAAGTTTTCTTTTGAGAAATTCTTCAGCTCAGCTCTCTTCCTCTGCCATTCTTATCTCATTTCAATGAACTACTTTTGTGCTCACTGAATTAACAAGGATCAGCCTAGCAGGTTTACAAAGCCTTTCCAAGTTCAATTAAGATTTTTAAAAAAATAAGTGTTTTCTTTGTGTTTAAAGTTCATGGTAAATGTTATGATACCCTTGGATCCTAGAAATGATCTCTCAAGCCGTTACAGTTTTTGGAATGTGTAGAGCAAACCATTCACCTGACATTTAACACCCATATTTCCGAGTTAATGAAAAGTAGTGATATAAAGAGACTGTTGAATAGTACAGTGTTGTTTCATTGTTCTTGTATCTGTTTTATACATGGATAACTAAGTCTATTTACAGGATAGATATTCTGACAAACACAGACTGAGTAAATGCCTGTTTTTGAAAGTAGATCCAAAGAGTCTTAGTTTTCCATCCCAATAAGATGACTTTCCATCCCTTTTTAGTCTTTGCTGTTTAGACATGAATTTGTGCCTCCCAGTAGGAGGTGAGATCATTAACTTTTTCTTATGTGTGTACGTTTAATAGATACAGGAGAATCAAGTAGAACTAAAATCATTTCAACTTTCCTTCTTTGTTTCAATCAGCATCGGCTTTTGTAGGAGACTTAATTAAATAGAGAACTGATTTTCTTTAGACTTTTAAATTTCTACATTCACCAGTACCTCTCCTCTCCCACCAAAAAAAAAAAAAAAAATTAAGGTTGGAACTAGCTTTTAATTAGGATCAATGGTTTTCAAAAGGTATTTCATGGCGACTTGGGGATTCCTAGGCAGGGCTGTGAGGTTGGAGGGTACCCCCAGGGCCAGGAGTAATACTGAATGATCATGCTCCAGACTAAAGCCCTGATTCAAGCAGAGCAAGTTTCTTTATCAGTTTCATACTGTGAACATATGGATGAAATTTTGTATAAATAAAGTGTATCATGATCTAAAAAAGTTTTCAGTTTTATTGATAATGTATCTATGAGGTTGAGAGACTTGGTGTACACCTGGATTTGAATGTTTACATTTAAAATTGGACAGAGAATCAGAAAAGCCTTATTTTATTGCAGCTCTGCCATCAATACATAATATAGTCTTTGGTATTTAAGTTCCTTGGTCAGAAACATAAAGAAAAATATGATTGCATTTTTACTCAGTATATTATGGAATATTATCTTTAAAATTTTTCCATAATTTTGAGCTATTTTGGAGCATTCTGTCTCTTTTTTCAATAAGAATATTTAAAGATGTGTTTGCTTCCTGTACAAATACCTGTAATATCTGTGAAAAGACCCTGGCAGGCACATAAATATCAACATCTTCTCTAGAATAAACAGTGACTTCGGTGACTTAATTTCCCGATGGTAGAACCTCACAGAGCAGAGGAAGACAATTGAGAATGTTCCCCACCCTCACCTCCCACGGCTTTTGTCTTAACTTGCTCTAAAGTGTTTGTTCTGTGACTTTTGTTTCCCTCTCCCCTCTCTGCAGTCCTATCACACTCATCAGTATGTGGCCAGAGCATTATGAGTGAGTATTTACGGCTCCATATGCAAAGAGGATGTTCTGATCAGTTTTGTTAGCATGGGGGTGATTACTAAACTTTTGTTCTAAAATAATAGTCCTGCCTCCTGGGTAACAATCCTAGTGGTTTCTTTGCATGGCAAATTCATTATTTAACTAAGCTAACATTTCTAATAGGAACAGCTAGCAATATGTGGGTATAAAACTGTTTGTTTGCATCTCCCTTTATAGCCCCTCACAGTCTCCTCAGCTGTTTCATGACGATACCCATTCAAGAATAGAACAGTATGCCACACGGTAAGCAACTTTGATAAGAGCCCTCTGCTGCACTGCCTCCTGGAGTGTATCGATTTCTGTATTAATCCTATACCATTAATGTGCCTTGACTTAGGGGCTGTTGTTTTATAGGAGTCACGATTCCATTATATTTGGAATCGGAGCTCTCATCTTTCCATGTTGTAATTTTCACTGTACCAGACACCTGCTACATGTTTTATAAGGAGTATGAAGAATTACTCAGTAGCATGTGATTATCGAGCTTTGAGAATCTAAACACTGCACAAGCAGGGTTTAGACAGTGTAACCCAGTGTCATTGAATGAAAATAGTGATTGAAAGTGTTCTCAGGAGATGGTGCACATATGAATTACAATATGTAATTAATATATGTTAATGCGTTATTACCAGGGTTTCTTTTAGAGTCCCCCCAAAATAGAAAGAATAGGCTGGTCTTGATGGTGTGCAGAAACTTTCAAAAAACAGGTATATAGGTGTCTGTGGTGCTAGGTACTAGCTATGCCTAAAAAGGTTAGTTTAAGCATCATAAAAATTGTAACATTTGAACTGGGTCTTGACCAAATAGCATTTCTGGGAAAAGCCAGGCTCGGACTAATGGAAAAACATTCTCAAAAGCATTCAGCTGGGGAAGAAAATGGCTCGTTCGAAGACCTGCAAGTAGGGAAAAGGTCAAGGACAAGGAGTGGATGGACAAATGCTGAAGTCCAATAATGAAGGGCCCACTTGCTAAGGAGTTGGATTGTGTCCTGAGGTAAAGGGGCTTCGTGGAGAGTCTTGAAGCATGAAAGGAGCATAGTCAGATTTGTGCGAGAATGAAGATGGACTTGAGGGCCTGGGAGGTTAGTTAGGAGGCTAAGTCCATTGGGAAAATATAGAACATGGTATAAGATAAAAGCCTACAGGTCTTAAGTCAGTGGTGATAGAAACATAACTCAACATTAGATGTTGTTTTAATGTCACAGCCTCCTTAGGAGATTTGGACCTTTCTGTATTTTGACTTTGTGACAGTTTAAGAATGACTGGGGCTATACCTCCAGTTGACTATGCCCTATGTGGCTGTATCGCCTAACCTCCTTATTTTCATTTTTCAGACTGGCCCAAATGGAAAGGACCAATGGGTCTTTCCTCACTGATAGCAGCTCTACCACAGGAAGTGTGTAAGTAAATCATGAAATCAGCACTGCCCGGGTAGACTAGTTCTTGTACATGGCTTTCGAAAATCATCTTCCCTGATCATGGCTCTGGATTTTGATGCCAATCAAGATTGATGTGTGTTTACAAAAGTGTCTACATAGATTTTATGCTTTCAAGCCAGGGTATCTTTTCCCAACTTCCCATTCAGTGAAGTCATTAGCTTAAATTGGCCATGATGAAAGTACTTTAATCATCAAAATTGAAAATCCTGCAAATCAGGGTCTTTTTATTTATCTTTCAAGAACCTGCTGTTAAACAGTTACCAGCACACCATGCCCCCAATGCTATAAAGGTCTGTAGATGTAGATAGTGTGTGTCCGTGACTCTTATGTGCTAGATGGAAGACAGATAAGTGCCCCTGCAAGGGAAGAACATGGTGAGGGCATTTGTGGTAGAATTATGGTCCTCAAAAGATTCCACATCCTAATCCCCGAAATTCTCTGAATATGTCACTTTATATGGCAAAAGGGACTTTGCGCATGCAATTAAGTTAAGGATCTTAAAAAGAGAAGATTATCCTGGATTGTCTAGCTTTCCAGATGGAGGTGGGAGGGGGTCAGAGCATCTGAAGATCCATCCAGTCTTCCTGGAGGTTATCACTGTCCTTGTCCCAATCCCATTGCCCATTCATGCTCCAGCTTCACAGTCAAAGCTTGTCTGTGTCTTTCAGGACCTTTTATAGCAGGAAGAAGTATAGATAAGTAAGTAATAGAGGTTGTGGCAGGAAGTATATAGTAGGTAAAAGATTTTGTAACTCAACATCTGCCAGACAATCTATATTTGGTTTGGGTGATCTCCCCATAGGCAATAAAAGAAAGCACGAGGCTTTGAGGTATGGATTTTGAGATGTAAACCTGTAATTCTCTCTGTTACCAAGGCTCTTCCGTCATTTGTGTCTTCGGAAGCAGTCTGAGCTTTTCTGTGCCCCTCAGACTGGCCTGTGGAGCCAGTGGTTTGGGCCCCGCAGCGCTCATCTTCTGTGAAGCTGGTTAACTAGTCGTTGCTTCTCTCAGGAGCTGCTGCTTTCCCACCCTAGACCTGACTCAGTCTTGCGCCTCTTTATCCCACATAGACCCAAATCCCAACGCTCTTTACTCCCTTGAAAGTCTGACCCTGGACAATTTAAAGGGCATTAATCTTAAGGATACTAATTTTCTTTGAAGGAGGAATTGAGCAACCATGTCTCAAAGAGAGACAGGACCCAGGGCAGTTCTGAGGACTCTCAGTAGCAGGAACTCAAGGCCATTGCCAGGAGGGTGTCTCACTCCATCCACCATCTGCCCTAGAGCGACACTGTTTTATGTGGGGGTCAAGTTGGTAGGCTAGTGTGGTTTGCACTGGCCTTGCTGTTTGCATGTTTGAAGCCTGAAACAGAATAATCCTTTAAAGGAAGGAGATTATTATTTTTATTTATGTTTTGACTGCTTTCAAAGGCTCATTGGTTGAATCACAGCTCTTTTGCCATCTGATATGTACTAATTTTGTAGCTAGATAGCATCTAGTCTGTGTGACTTAAACATAGTGTAATTATATTCCGTCTAATGGTATTTTGTTGGTACAGACCTGTATTTTTACAACATTTTCTGTTTTAGCACTGGGCACACTATTGGCATTGAATGACCCTAATCTGGTACCTCATGTACTGTCTGTATCTAAAGGATATGCTTTCACTATATAATTAAGAACTTGACTGTGTCCATTTTTATATTGAACTTTTCAGCCTAATAATCTGTGAAAAAACACTTAAGACTAAAATTATAGGTTCTAATAAACGATTTTTTATAGAAGCTGCCTTAATTCCCTTCCAGGGTACCTTAATGAAAACATGTAATGATAGTGGTGATGATGATAATTATAATAATATGTTAAACCCCATCAGCTAAATGTTGAAAACAAAATGTATCTCCAGTCTAGTTTTGTTTCATATNTCCCAAAAGAAATGAATCTATATAAATGTTGAAAACAAAATGTATCTCCAGTCTAGTTTTGTTTCATATGTGTGTATGTTTGCTTCACTGAGGTTTTTCTGAAGCCCTATGCTATAAAGCCCTAGATTATTTCCCAAAAGCCATCGAAACAGACCAGGTCCAAACTGCTAAAGGTATTCCATGGCAGGACTCTCCTGCTAGCATTAGCCGGGAGGTCTGTCATTTGCCCGTTTACAAGGAGATCTGCCTGGATCTCCCCATAAAGGAAGCGAAGGGATTCTAGGCCTGCTCATGAGCATCTTCTTCTCACAAACACATCAGCTTTGTCTACTTTGTTATGCTTCTGTTTCTGTCAGCCATTAGATTCAACCCCCTTATTGATATGTCTAGTTCATTGGACAAGTAGTTAGAAAAGAGAGAATCCAAGTGAGTTCATTATAGTTTTTTATTTTAATGGAGAATGGTTGATCACAGAAATGACATGCTGATAATATTAAGCAAAATATCTGTAGATAATTTTAAATATAACTCTAATTTGTGCTGAGTTATTTAAATAAAAGAATATGAGGATTGTATTTTCCTATCTATGGGTTACAGAGCATTATAAAGTGGCTTTCAACCACATGCTGAAGACAGTGACATCAGCTTATGTCTTAGTCCATTTGGGCCACTGTAACGAAATGCTGCAGACCAGGTGGCTTATAAACAACAAATACTTACTCCCGACAGTTCCGGCGGCAGGAAGTCTAAGATCAAGGCACTGCAAATACGATTTCTGATGAGAGCCCACGTCCTGGTTCATGGCCTTTTTGCAGTGTCTTCCTCTGTGGCGGAAGAGGAGCACTCTGGTCTCATCAGTCCCTTGTAAAGGCACTAGTTCTATTTATGAGGGTTCCCCTCTTGTGACCTGATCACCTCCCGAGGCCCCATGTTCAAATACAGTCCCCTGTGTTCTCAGGGGATTGGTCCCACAATGCATGGATTGGGCCTTATATGAAATGCATAGTATTTTCATATAATCTATATTATATTCTGTGATAAATACATGTTAGAATAAGGCAAAGCATGAAATGATAGTATGTGTAGTACACATACACTGTTAGTTAAATATCTTCCTTGATTTTTAAAAGGAGGTCGTGGATGTCATAGAAACATGTCATTGCATGTCAAAAACATCCATACCTGTAGAGAATTTTTATAATAGTTTATTTGAGCCAAACTGAGGACATGCTGGGAAGCAAGATCTCAAGTGCTCCAGAGAATGATGGTTTTGCAATTTCTGGTATACCCTTGGAATTAAGGAGGGAACAAAGGAAGGTTACATGAAGGTGGGACAAAGCAAGGTATAGGATAGTTAACAAGACTGAGTGCTCCCTTGAGGGTGGTTATGCTTTTGAGGGGCCTGGAAAAGAGCATTACTTCCAGGATTTCAAAGATGTGTTAACCTACATGCAATGGGCCGGGCTTGCTTAAACCTTTAACTAAAGACGTTTATAGGCCTGAAGCATGACTACCCACCGTGACTTGCCCAGTAAGGAATTTATGATCAGATCACCCCGTGGGGTCACTTTTGGTTAGATTGATTACAGCGCCCCTTTCCATTCACAGGGACATTGAGCTTGAAGGCAGACTTGGCCTGGCAGCCATCCTGATCATCACTGCTTTTACTCCCTTCATGTTCAGGGACACCAACGTCCAGCCATGAGCCTCTGTGTTTAATTTGTCTCCCCAGGGAGGACGAGCATGCCCTCATCCAGCAGTACTGCCAGACCCTCGGAGGGGAGTCCCCGGTGAGCCAGCCGCAGAGTCCAGCTCAGATCCTGAAGTCGGTAGAAAGGGAAGAACGTGGAGAACTGGAGCGGATCATCGCTGACTTGGAGGAAGAACAAAGGTGTGCTGGATCTGGGAGGCGAAGACATGTCATCCTGGGAACTTGTAATGGAAAACTTTCCACAGCAACTTCAACATGCTCCTACCCATTCTCTTTTCAAACTGTTGTCCAAGGAGTCAGGGGGGAGTGACAGTTTTAGAGGACTTCACCAAGCTGGCCTGCCGGCCTTAGGTTATAGCTGCATCTTGGGTCCAGGGACGGTGTCTATTAGAACAGTTCCTTCAAGTACCATTTTAGTCATGCTTGCTCATCTCGCTGTTGAGAAATGTTTTACCTAGGAGGAAATAAATAGCGTTCGCTAAAGCAGGAGCGCGTAGACAGTTTTGGGTAGAAGATGTCGTACACAATGGTAATTTCAGTTTTTGTTTTTCTGTATTAGAAATTTGCAGGTGGAATATGAGCAGCTAAAGGAGCAGCACCTGAGAAGGGGGCTGCCTGTCGGCTCACCTCCAGACTCTATCGTTTCTCCTCATCACACATCTGAAGATTCAGAACTTATAGCCGAAGCAAAGCTCCTCAGGCAGCACAAAGGTCGGCTGGAGGCTAGGATGCAGATTTTGGAAGATCACAATAAGCAGTTGGAGTCTCAGCTCCACCGACTTCGACAGCTGCTGGAGCAGGTAGAATGCAGAACTCAGCGTCACCCCTGTCCACGCCACTTTGTCCCAGTCCCACGGGCTTTGTCCCAGTGTCACCAGGGAGGTTCAGTTTCAATTTCTCAGTTTACTATTAACTTAGACTTGCTTAGAAATCTCTCTTCCAATGTGAGGAATAAATCCTCACTGGCACAAAAAAAAATGTGCTTGCCCAGTTTCAGATGGAATTCCCCATTCTCCTCTAACACTGAAATCTGTCACAGCTCTGAACAGTTTAAAGAAAAAGATCTTATGGCATATGTCTGCATAAATTAAATCAGGGAAACATCTGTGCCAATTAAGGGAAAGGAAGTGACCTGAACTCTTCATTCTAAAGCCTTCCTTCCAATGAGCTATTTTCAAGAAATTAAGTAACAGATGTTTACTAATTTGCTACTATTATTTTCCATAAGACACCAGGCCGTGTCTTATGGAAGTTGCTTGCAGAATTTCTTGACAATAAGAAATACAATTTACATTATGATGAATACATATATGTATGGTCAATATAAAACAATTGCTGATCTAAAAATACTCTCCTAGTTTTTATATTTTTTCCTTCCTTCCTCCCTCCCTATTTCTCTCCCTTCTTTCTTCCTTCCTTCTTTCCTCTCTCTCTTCCTCTGTGTCTCTCTTCTCCCCTCCCTCTGTTCGATTTTTCTCCTATCTTTCTTTCTTAGTGCTTATCAACAAGTTGATTTACCAAATCAATTTTATAACTCATCAGTGGACAATAACCTGCAATTTTGAACAACACTGTTCTTTGAGATACAAACTTTTCTGCCTTTTGGGTGCCTGCAGCCTTATTAGAGACTGTAACAGATAGTATGATATATAACACGATGGTTTCTTATATAAAGACACAATACATTGTAGATAATTAAGTACTAGTGTTCATCTAGCAGGTAAATAATGGGAGTCATGTCACAGAACTAGTGATGAGGATGCCGTTGCAGCAGGTGCAGAGGGTGGAGAATCCCAGCAGATGGGCCTGGAACTTCTCTCTCCTGATCCCCTGACATCACCATTTATGTCATCTTTTGCCGCCGCCTTTGGCCTCTGCAGTGAGGGACCCCCTGGAGCAACTAGGAATGCCTTTCTCCAGAGATGATTTATTGAATCAAAGGCAGAAACAACTTTCTTTTCAGTGATTTTCTCAAATTTTAGAAAACCATCTTTCACACTTGCTGTCAGTATCTTTTAACATGTCAGAATCATTCAAAACAGTGTAATTTTTGCATTACCTACTCAGCAGGCCAAAGATCCCCCCTTATATTTTGTCCATATATCTTTCTGTGTGTCTGCCATTGTTTCAGAATTGGTGTGAGACTATTTTGGGGACAGCTTACTTTGGAGCCTCCAAATTGTGCATCAATAGAAAATAATAGTTCCCCAAGAATGGCCCAAGGCCTGGTGCTCTCTAAGTCTTCCGGAATGTCTGACTTTTACCTCTGTGCCAGTCACATACATGGGAGCAGTTGCATTGTTAGTATTATGACTCTGAAGTTTCTGAATGGTTCCTGTGTAAAGGGGTGAAATTTCTCGTGAAAGCTCATATTTAGAATGTGAAGTATTAACAACCTAGTCATGGATAACAATCATTGCTGAAGGAAGCCATATTCCGAAAGAAAGCTTCATTTGCCATGGCCTGTTGGTGATTTTAGGAGGACTGAGGCTCTTTGCTCACCGTTCCCCTGCCCCGCCCCCCTTCACTCTCTCCATCAGTTAGACAGAGCCTCCTAATGGCTCATATGTTTTCAGAATTACACAGTAATGCTTTTAGAGATATCTGATATCTGAATGTCTCAGTATATCCCAGACTCTAGGGCTCTGATCTCTGCTTAATGACAGCATGAATGCCAGAAGGAGATAGAAAATTCAACTCTGAAAGTAAAAACTGGCAAAACTACCAGGCTTCAGCTGATACAGATTTAATGAAAAACTTGACATCAAACACATTTGAACTCCTGCATCCCGTCTACAACAGGTCACACTTTCTCATTTGACCGCGTACTTGTCAATGTGTCTGTCATCATTTCAAAGCTCTCGGTGAGAGTGCACTTACCAAGGCTTTGCTAGGTGTCCGGTCCTGTGCCGATTGCTTCAGAAATACTCAGTGACCGCCTCGCACCTGACGCAGGTGCTCCTGTCGGCGCCCCCAGTTCATCAAGAATCTGAGGCNTACACAGTAATGCTTTTAGAGATATCTGATATCTGAATGTCTCAGTATATCCCAGACTCTAGGGCTCTGATCTCTGCTTAATGACAGCATGAATGCCAGAAGGAGATAGAAAATTCAACTCTGAAAGTAAAAACTGGCAAAACTACCAGGCTTCAGCTGATACAGATTTAATGAAAAACTTGACATCAAACACATTTGAACTCCTGCATCCCCTCTACAACAGGTCACACTTTCTCATTTGACCGCGTACTTGTCAATGTGTCTGTCATCATTTCAAAGCTCTCGGTGAGAGTGCACTTACCAAGGCTTTGCTAGGTGTCCGGTCCTGTGCCGATTGCTTCAGAAATACTCAGTGACCGCCTCGCACCTGACGCAGGTGCTCCTGTCGGCGCCCCCAGTTCATCAAGAATCCGAGGCACAAAAAGTTAAAAATTTGCCCAGAACTACGCAGCTTCTGAGCGACAGAGTTCAAATCTAAGCATCTGAGTTCAAAATCGTGCTCCGGACCACTCTCCAATATTGTCTTTAAATATTGNTCTAAGCATCTGAATTCAAAATCGTGCTCCGGACCACTCTCCAATATTGTCTTTAAATATTGATTTGAACTTTAAAAGAAGCTGATTGTGAAATTGGGTCCATTTACGATGTGACAAGCAGTGCTGATTTTTTAAAGATGAATTAAGCCTCTTTCTGAATTCACTCAGTTGACATAAAAATAGGAGAGAGAACTGTTGAGGGATGAAACCGGGTGAGTTCTTCCAGGTGCCCAGGCTGAAACGGCAGGACCACTTAGGGCTCAGGCGAGTTCTAGCGAGTTCTAGCATCTGTGGCAGTAAAATGTATTTGGGAATGCCTGAGGGTAAAGAACTCCACCTGGTTTAATTGTCCGTGCTGGGGAAGGGGGAGTGGGAAAAGGAAATGGTTTCCTGAATAATAACTTCGTTCTCTCTCTGGCCTAACCTCTGAACGTGACTCCAGCCTGAACCTGATCCCCGGATCAATGGTGTCTCCCCTTGGGCTTCCCCTCAGCGACCTGCACTGAGCCACTCGCTCGATCCGGACGCCGGCCCACAGTTCCACCAAGCAGGTCAGTGTCCCCGAGACGTGGCTGCCCTCCCCACACTGCTCTGGTCTGTGCCATTTATTGTTTTCATTTTAAATAGCATTCTTACCCGTGGGTGCCTTAGGGCTCAAAGGAGTTCTCTCTGTGGTCTCAGATGAGTGCAGAACCATTTTAACAATTCCAAGAAAGCAAACATTTTAGTATAGTAGCTACGATACAGATATGTATATAGTGTGTAGCAGCGGGTTGAATTTTGGTGAAAGATGAGGAAAACGGCTCTTTCCTTTTGGGATGAACAACAATTTAAGTTTTTTGCCATGGGAATAACTTAAACTTCCTATTTGAACATATTCAGAATATAATACTAAATAACATTATATTAAACATGGTTTTCTCTGCCCAGGTCTGGGAACTCAGTGTTCTGCTTTCTCCATCCCAGTACCCGTAGATATTGCCACCCCTGTGACCCCATCTGAAGCAGAGGCCCCTCCAGCCTGTCACTGATCACAGAGAGGATCTGTCAGTGCTGCTAGGAAGGACCCTGTCAGCCGGGCATTCCGAATGACATTTTGTTACTGATAAAATTCAAGTTCCAAAATTCTGCTGAGGACCACATACTTTAACCAGATTAATTTGCTTATCAGATATCTTTTGCTACACTAATCAGAAGAAAACCTATAATATTAATATTCTTTTATTTTTTAAAAATAAGAGTATTATTTTGCTGACTATAGAATAAAAACGTGAAAGTACGAAGTCTCTTATAAGATACTTCTGGTTTTGTGCTAGCATAAGCAAGCCTATGCTGAAGTCTCCATAAAGAAAGAAGGAAAAAGAAATTGGTAGAATATTTTTCTCATATGAAAAAAGTATTTGCAATGCAAAACAATAAAATTCCAACCAATAAATTGAAATAATATGACTACATTATGTATTTTTCACTCATGAATTTTCCCTAGCATGTGGATTTTTTTCCTACAGAAACACCTAGTACATTTTATTTATGTATAAAATTATATTGCCAGCAAATTAATACAAAAGTGGTTTTGGTATTTCCCCTATAACTGTCATTATGTACGAGAATTATTTTCCCATTGATATGTAGAGGCCACAGCTAGTATTTTCTTCTGAAGATGGGTTTTGGAGAAAGGCTGGACATTAATTTCAGAATGTCTGTTCTTTTCATCGCTGTCCCGCAGCGGAAGACCTGTTGGCCCCGCCTCATGACACCAGCACGGACCTCACAGAGGTGATGGAGCAGATCAACAGTTCATTTCCATCCTGCTGCCGTGAGTATGACTGCACCTAACACCACCACTGCGGATTTTCCTTCCCTTTCTTTTTCCAGCGTGGGCCCTCTGTCTTCTTGGATAAGATAACAAAAACCTATATTAGAAACCAGATTGAATATTACTTGAAAATAAATCAAACATTCTATATGTGAGGAAAGCACAAGAAGCTCAGCCTAGATACCATCCCATCCCTGGGGTGCAGTGACAGTGCAGTCTTGCCCTTAAGGTTTTTCCACGGGCCTTATGAGTGATAACGTGAAGGCAAATAAAATAAGGCTGGTTTTAAGAAGAAATTATCCTCTTCGGTGCAAGCTAAAGTAAGAAATTTTATTACTTCAAAACAGAGCTTTTAGTGGTATGCTAGAAAAGGCAGGAAAATACCCTTTTCCAGTGTAATTCCCTCTGCAGACTCTAATCTCTGATGTCACCAGATTCAGGTACCGAAAGGGATTATTTTCAGATTCTCGTCTTTTTCTCCTCTGGTTTCCTTTCCTGTGGGATGAAGTGGTCAGTGTTGGGAGGGCAAGCCATTTAAGGCATCCAGATTAGCACCCTGTGAGTTTTCCATGTGAACAGCCAGAGCCACATAATAGCAAAATAGAAGCAGTTCGATTCCTAGGGGAACTTATTAATAATTCTTAGTTATTGATTTTTTTCCCACATTTTGTCTTCAGCATCTTGCCACCTTGCAGTTTCTGCTGAGTGCTCACCAAAGACACTTCCGTCTCACACAGTAACGGTTGACTCGAATACGCATATAAACTACTTAACGCCACAATTACATTTAAAAAACTCTTTTAAAGGAATATGAATATGACTTATAATTTTTATAAATTATAAGCGATTTTTAAATCTAGGTGGCCACTAAACTAAGACTTTAGTAAGTATATACTATTATTTGCCATATATTATTTATGTGTGGCACATACAGATATAAACAGCCTCTCATCTTACCCTTTTCCACCCTGTCTCTGGAAAATACTATCCTAAATGAGAGGAAAAACATTATCAGGAGTAGGGATAAATAAGATATATTGACTTCATTTAAAAAGTATCCTTCAATTTATGCCAATCTGCAGTTTACAAAACTCATCACTAGCAGGAATTGGAAACAGCTATTTGAAATATAGTCATCTCTGAATCTTTAGAAGTATTTGCCTGAAGGACATATTACAGTTTCTACAGCACATAATATATGTATATTTGGGAGTGTGTCATTTTCCAGGTTATTATTTGTAGTTCTTCTCAAAGTTTGCTGAATCACATTTACTCTATGTCAGTCCCCACACTCATCCCCCAAAAGAGCATGTAAGTGTGCGCACACACACAGACACACACACACACACACAGACACACACACACACACACACACACACACACACACACACACACATTTTTGGCCCCGTAGAGACTTACAGAAGCATTAAGTCTATAGGCTATCGGATTGTTGCTTTTTTCTAGGCTTTGTAACAGTCATGAAAGATGAACAGATTAAATCTTTATATTAATTATACTTCAAGGTTGAATTTTTTAGGGAAATGGTTACTGAGGTTGTATGTTACTGAATGACTAGATATAGTCTTTCTATGCCAGAATTTCAAAATTAAATTTCTAAATGAAATTACCTTTAGGTCAGTTTAAATCCAAATACATTAATAACTAATTAAAAACAAATTATGTAAGTCAAAGCCAATTCGAAGTTTTTATTCAGATGTCATGACGGAGGCCCTGGTCAGGTGGTGGCTCAGTTGTTTGGAGCAGCTTCCCATACACCAAAAAATTGTGGACTGTCCTTGGTCAGGGCACATACTTAGGTTGTGCGTTTGATCCCTGGTTGGGGCCTGCACAGGAGGCAACTGGTCGATGTTTCTCTCTCCCCCTCCCTCTCCCCTTTCTTTCTCTCTGTCTTTCTTCCTTCCCCTCTCTCTAAAAGTCAATAAAAAACCCAACATATTGTCAGGTAAGGATAAAAAAAAAAATTAAAAAGAAAATGTCATGATGGACAGTTTCAATAAAAGTCAGTTGGCAGTGAGAGCTAGGATGAGAAATGCTTAAATTTATGCTTTATAAGCAGATATAAAAATTATAATTTCCATATTTAAAATTTTATACTAAAAATTCATAATGTCTTTTTAAAAGTTTAATTTTCTAAAGCAGTCACTCTTATTTTTTTTTACAGTATATTCTTATGCCTTGATATTGTAAAAGAGTGATCTTTATCATAATTTAGGAGAGCATGTAATTAAAAATAAATAATAATTATAATTATAGGGCAAAAATGAATCTTAGGAGGCGAGTGTGTTCATCTAATTTTATGACCTCCCTTAAAGGCAAGTGTAAAATTTCCATTAGTCAAATCTTACTACCTAGTAATAGATTTTATTGGTTCCTGAGAAGAGAGTGTATCTTCAGTGGAACCCACATACTAGGTTAAGCATCTACATTGCATTGATGCCTGCTCCTCCTGTGTTGTTCTGTGTTGTGAGAGTGGGATATAGAGCCCCGAGGTTTATTACTGGGACACTGGCCCCATGCTCTCATAGTCTTATGTTTGTTCATTCACAGATATTTATAATATGTGTAGTTTTCTGTAGATGAGCCTTACTAGTCATGTGTGTTTTTTTAAGAGCTCCAGCACTGTACATCCCATGTAAGAAATGATAATAGTGTATTTTAGAATCCTTTGAAATTTAGACCTTATTACTTATGATTTCTGCTGTTAGTTTGGGTTTAGTTTGCTCTTATTGGTATTTATATTCTGTGTTTCCTTTGATAACATAAAAATTTCCAACATAGGGGCAGCTATACATAAAATAAAGGCTTAATTGACTTATTTGTAAAATTGATACATAATTTTAAAATTCTTCCTAAAGTGATTGAGCCTTTTAAAAATTGATGTAGAATAGAAATGAGCACCTGACATAGACTTGGTGTCAAATACATGTGTCTAAATTGGATGGATGGATGGATGGATGGATGGATGGATGGATGGATGGATGGATGGATGGGTGATGGATGGATGGATGGATGGGTGGATGGATGGATGGATGGATGGGTAGATGGGTGGATGGATGGATGGATGGATGGATGGATGGATGGATGGATGGGTGGGTGGATGGATGGATGGATGGATGGATGGATGGATGGATGGATGGATGGGTAGATGGGTGGGTAGATGGGTGGATGGATGGATGGCTGATTTCATTTTCTCACTAGGAAGGTTAAGTTGTTGAAGTTTCCCCAGATGCTACTCTGTAGGACTCATTTGCTTTGCTCTCCCTTTTAAGTTGCGCAGCTAGCAAATATTTTAATAAGTCTTCAAATTCCCAAAGCTTACCGACCACCTTTGGAGAATTTTTCTAAGCAGATTGGCTTGGCACCCTCCCAAGGCCGAGCCAATCTCATGAGCCCCTGAAACTATTGAGAACTTTAAAATTATTTGTCACTAGCATACAATGAATTGATCTGCATGTTAGTCTTGACTTTTGATCATTTGTGGGTTAAAAATTAGCATGGTCACAAGCAAATTTCTACTCCTGACAATCTTGGAATTAAAATGAAACTGTATTTATCAATTCTCATTGCATGAATTGCCTACTTAAACATGAATTTTTTAATTTGCTGTATCTATATATTGTTGCATATAACACTTTAGAATTCTTCTGTCTTAAATTAATCTCACAGTTGGTCCTGATAGTATCCTTGAATTATGGCCCTCCAAAGTCATCTTTTACTTACTTACGTTACTTTTCAGAGCAAAGAGGCAGGTATCTCTTTCTGGCAAGGAGTTAATGAAGGAAATTTAGTTGTGTTGCTTATTAACCAATGTACCTACTAAAATTTCCACTGACTGATGTAACAATTTTTTTTTTAGTGTAAAATATTTTGTTAGTTTTTTCACATCTAAATATGTGGGATACTAGTAGTAAGCTGAGTATTTTTTTGCTTTAAAAGCAACAAATGCTTTTAAAATTATTTTTTTTACCTCTAGGCATATTTTCACTGTGAATTGCCTGATTATTAAGCTTGATCAACATTATCAAAAGCTCAAAACCTACAAAAATGCAATGATTTCCTTTAAAAAATATATTTGTATGATTTGTTCAGGGGAGTATCCATAGCCTTTTATTTGATAAAAAGCTGTAGGGTTTAAAATGTTGGTTTGGGGCAAAATAGATTAGATTTGTTTGGGTTTGGTTATTTGTTACTTGGAAGAGAAGCATGACTCTCCTATTTTGTGCTTAATACTAATGCAGCAAAGCTGTCCCCCGGTGTGGCTCAGGTGGAGGAGGTCCACTCTTTTTCTCCCTGTTGTAACCGACGCGTCTGGTAGGACTAGGCCGGTGTTAGCCCGCTTCTTCCCCAACTACTCCTGGGGCTCACTTTCCCTCCAGGCATTATAAGGAGGTCTCCTCCTTTGTTCTTTTTTTCTCACAAAGCTACTGGCACTCACTGTGTGGTCATCAGTACCTTCTGTTCTGTCCTAAGCACAGAAAAATGAGAGCGGGAAGGAGAGAAGCATGCTAGCTGATTAGGGACAATTCTCATCTGACCCAGAGCAGCTGTTACCATCATTGGAGGGGTGGGGGTTCCCCCTCTGCAGTAGGGTTGAGTGTGAGATTTGTCAGTGAAAGGGAGGGATGGAAAAGCAGAGGCCTTAAAAAATATATTACTAGTGGCTGCCCTCACAGTGCCCACCTGAGCAGCTGCACGGCCCGGTGCTCTCTGTACCCAGGAAGGACTCGAGCTGCAAAGGTGAATTAGACACCGGGCTCTAACTTCTCCGATGCTCTTAACTGGGGCGAGGAAGGCACAGCTATTAGCCCAAGTTCCTGGGAGACTGTCCTTCCCCTTCCGTGATGTAAGCATGTCGCCGCCATCTTCCTGGTCTTCAGGGTAGGGGGTAAGTGTGAGTCAAGGGTGGCAGAAATGAAAGACTCACGCACCTTCATTTCCCTAATGACTTCTTGGTCAGAACTGGTACTACTTGGCAAAATATACAGAATTTGCTCTGTTCTGATTCATAAACCAAATACATGGCAAGATTTCAGTGGGCAATTTTGAGATTTTTTGCGAAACTAAGTATTCACTGAATGCTTTATTGTACACTTTTTAACAGAGCCAGCATATGCTTTGCATATTTTGGTGGAGTGTGTGTATTTTAAAGCACTTGGAATATGAGAAACTAGGGAAACTAGCCCTTGTTAAAGCATTTAGCAAAAAATAAAAACTGTTTCTTATTTTATTAGCATCCATTTAACAAGCTGGGAACAGTACACTTTTGCATGCCTAAGAGGGGGAACCAGCCAAGCAACGGCACCACCTTCAATTTATTTCTTTTGTTTTCTCTTTCAGCAAACGTCCCCAGCAGGCCACAGGTAAGAGTTCATGGTTTTGTTAACAGTAATTCCAACAGATATCAAAAGAGAGTTTTATTCATATACGATTTGCAAATCAGGAATGTAGCCCTCAGTATGAACCAAGGACATGTTCCAACATCAAGGAGATGGGCAAAGTTTTTAAAGGTGAAACTTGCAAGGAGCTGACCATCAAAGGGATGGATTGCTAGAGAAACAAGACCACAGACTTAACATTATTTGTTTTCTGGTTGGTGGGGGCAACTGGACTTTCCATGGGTGCCTGACGCTGGTCAGCAAGTGGGGCTGTGAGATGAGAACGATGGGTCACACGATTAGACATTTGTCAGTGTCCCAGCTCAGGTTCAGGCTTGTAGGATGAAAGCTTTGGGTGACTTGCCAACCAAAATCAGACAGCACAGAGAGGCTGTTCATTCCAAGTCCAAGGTGCAGAGTTCAAACTGCAAAAATCCCGGTTGGGCCACAAATTATATTAAAGCTCCTATAAGTCTTCGGGTTGGTTGGCTCATGTGTTGATTACAACCCAGTGCCGCTATCAATTTTAGTGCTACTTTATTTTCCATGTAAATAAGTACACTTGCCTGACCTGACGTTTAAATGTTAGCTGATTTAGTACAACAGTTTGTCAGTCTGGGGAGGGGGACCCCTCCCAAACCAGTTCTCCCAGATACCTGATCTTTTGTGTTCTCATAGCTTTTTAACAGCCTCGTAGATGCTATGTGTGGTTAGCCTGGAGAGGTTTGGTGACCTCTGTTCTCCCAGATACCTACTCAAGGTAGTGATCACAGAAGGCTGATTAAAAACAGTGACTAGGCAATACACAAAGGTGGTTTTGTAACTTCGGGGGTGGGGAGAGTCGACTTTTCATTTAAAAATTTGCTGAGGACTGTTGGCAGCCACAGCCTTATACCTTTCAGTGTTTTCCTTATCAGATACTCTTAGTAATAATGTGCCACAAGACCACAGATCTTTGGAGAACATTTTCTTCCGTGAACTTTTTTATTAATCTTTTTGAAACATTGAAAGTTCCTCCATTGTCTTATTGGCAAGAGGGGCTGGGATCTTAATGAGAAGCACAGACAGTTTGTCTTTAGTAACCTGAGGAAAGACAAGGAACATAAGGCAGATAAGTGGATATGGTATGAGAGCTGGTGAGACAGAAGGACCTCACCCCAGGGAGCAAAATTCCTCTTCTGAATGCTTCTGTTGTCTTAGTGAAGGACCTCACCCCAGGGAGCAAAATTCCTCTTCTGATTGCTTCTGTTGTCTTCATGAATCAGAAGCCGAGACTTGAGCAAAGCGTGATGGGAGGGAGTGTCATAGGTGTGAGGTAAGACCAGAGAAGGCGCCATAGCTCTTGGAGATCAGGAGAGCACGTCGAGCCTGGAATAGTGTGACTGACTGCCAGGCAGCATTAAAGGGCACCAATTTAGGTGCCTGTTAGTGAATTTAACGTGAAGCCGGTGTGGGGCTGTGTGTTGCTCTCTAGCCACATTCAAGTTCATGATCCCAGGCATCAGAGTAGGGCGAGGATTGTAGTTAATCGAAGTTCAAGTCATGGTTTGGCCAAGAGAGTGCATACAGCAAGCAGTTCAAGGGGGGAGTCAAAGGAGTAATAATAGTGATTGAACTAGGTGTCTAAGCGTGTAGGGAGGGAAGTGAGGATGGCTTAGGTGTGGGGACAGAAAAAAGGCGGGAGACTCGATGCACTGTAGTATCAAAGGATAGATGAAGCGGGGTCCTGGTGGGAGTAAGCAGGAAAGGTAGAGGTGGTTGTCAGAAGGTTGGATGGTTGTTTTCCGGGATGAGAGAGAGAAAAAAATGCCCTGAAAACACAAGGAGGACCTAGACGGACTTATCCAGTATCTGAGGTTGTGGGAGCCCTGGGTGCTTGCACCAGCCTAACTCGCTCACCGTTGGTACCTCCAGCAGGAAAGGACAAGTCCTCTCAATCTGAGCTCGCTTTCCCGCCTGGGCGTGAGCAGGCTTCCTCTAGACCGGCTGCAGTCAGAAAGAGCAGACGAGGTGATGCGGGATGAGAGGAAAGGACCTCATCTGCGGGAGCAAGAGTCCCGCGGGAGAAAAGGGTCCCCCTCTGAACATAGCAAAATAGGGTTTTCATTCTGAGAGAGGCACTTGTGTTTCCTTGAGGAGTTGACAGGCCTCTGCTACCTGTAATGGTTTATGTAGATGTTGTTCTGACAGCTCGGTTTCCCTCCCCGCAGGCAATGTGAAGCATTCATCAGCCAACAAACATTTCCTGACCTTCAGTGTTGCCCTTTCCAGCAAATGCCAGTTTCCAAGCTCCATTTCATCAGAAGCCCCATGGCTCCCTGAAACAGGCCGTTGAGCACCGAGCACGAGTCCTACTGAAGGGGGGAAACACTGACTATCCAAAGAGAGAAGGATACTTTGTTTTATAATAATCATTTAGTATTGTTTTCTCCTTCCCTTTCTATGCAACTGTAAATTAATGAACAGAGCGGTGTTGGGGATCGGTGGTGCATTTGTCACAGATTTGTATACTGTACACAGCATCGGGAAGGTGGGTGGGGACTTTCTAACGTGACACCTTTTTAATAACCGTGATGAAAATTGCAGAAGAACTAGAAGACAGTTTTACAGTTTACATTCCTTTATATTAACCTTGTACAATAACTTCATTTATTTCTTCAGCTCTTTTACCATTACGTTTTGGTTATTTATAAACTCATCAGCCACATGACCAAATAGATTTCCTATATTTGTTTTCATGATTTGGCCAATTGATAAGTTCATATATTTCAGTCACTTATATCATATGTGTATGGATTAGGCCATAGCGCTGTGTATACTTTTTAACTTTATTTGACACCATACACTTACTTTTTTTTTTTTAGCAACCACTTGGATAACCACAATAAAAATCCTGTGGGCCTAACTGGCATTTCCGTTGGGATTTTTTCCCCCCCTGCATTTTATTTCCCTGCTCTATAGAAGTAGCTCGTGATTTCTTTATTTATTTCACACCCCAGTTTATAGGATAGAGGAGACTTAAAGTAGGATTATAACAATCTCACAGGTCATTTTACCAAAGGTTGCCTATTTAAGCATATTTTCATTTTGGCACAGAAACGACACTTGGTACAACCTTTCCTAGTTCAAAGGCCTTGATTTTCTTTGTTAAATACACAGCAGGCCTTTACCCCATTGTAATGCTGGATACATTGTCGTCTTTGGTTCCCTTTGAAGAGCATTTATTGTTCTTCATGTATATTTAAGCCCTTTATAATTCTTGAAACTCCCAGCTATTTTCTTTGGAAAGCAGGCACAAATTTAGTGCACGTCGCATTGTCCCTTTGGGTGAATAGCAGATGTGCTGTCACCCCTTCTGTGATCCGTGCACTTGGGGATAAAGCCCAGGTCACTGCTTCTGCCGAAGAACGAAACTGATGCTTGGGTGGTGGTGCCCTCCTAACTCCGAGTGCATTCAACTGGGCATTTGGTTCAGCTTCCAATTTAGCACTTAATTCATTCAGTTTAGACATGTTACGTAATTACCAAATGTAGAGAAACCAAAAAACAAAACAAAAAAAGAGTTAAAATAACATGTTTTGATTCAAGCACATGCGCTTTTAAGACATCAGGACATTTTAACTTTGGGCTCTCTTGAGCTGGGATCTGGCCAGAAGGAGACTTAAAGTTAGAAATTCCTATTCTTTGTGAAAATGGTGGGTGGGTTGGGGGGCAAGGGTGTCTATTTGCAGCATAGATATTTTGAGAAGAAGATTGTTTTATACAAGAGGAAAGCCATGACCACCTTTCTACCTCAGACCCGTCTTCATCCATCGTGTCAGAAATAGCTTTACGCCGCTACAGTCTGCAAAACCTAGAGCTTTTATCAGGCCACATGATACCCACGAAAAGCATCTATTTAAAGAAAAAAATTCCCTGAACTCTGAACTACACGTTGTCGATTTGGTGTCTTCCTTGTTCTTTGAAAAGCTATGTATTAATTTTTTCCTGCCTGTAATTGTGTGCAACATGTCTATTCTATCTGCTATTAAGGAAAAGCTACATAAAACACTACATTGTAACCTTCTAAATAATAATAAGTAAAGAGAAATATATTGCAGTAACAGCAACAGGAAATAAGTATGTAGTTCTTTGGAAATATGTGGTCAAGAACTAACCATAGACTATCATCTAATGTGGTTACATGTTGTATTTTTCATCCTGAATAAAAGTAATTTTAACACAAGATGACTCAGATATTTTCAGCTGTGTTCTCTGATAGAATCTGAGGTTTGAATGCACATTTATGAAAATAACATATACAGAGAGCCTGTATCCTGATCCACATATTTTCCTGCAGTTTCTCGCATACACACTCATACATTCTCTCTTGCTCTCATTGTCTCTCTCTCTTTCACTGTGTTCCCCTCTTCTCATATATATAAAATTATCAATTTCCTATACAGATGAAAGGCTTTATTAATAGGGAAAAAATAATGTTGGACATTAAAAACGTACCTGAGCTTTTTTTTTGTTTTAATAACTTAAGTGATTACCTTTCAGATCCACTTTCAGCCTCATGCTCTTAAAGAATGTGCTTTTCATATATGCTCTGGATTTTAACCATACTGGTAAGTTTACTTCTAAAGCCACCTTGTAGGGAAGTAGTGTCACGAATCATGTTACTTGATTCTAAAGGTAAAAGCTATCTATGAAATAGAAAACTCCCAAAACATACAATTTATTAAAATAAATAAAATTGATACATTTTAATGAACACACATTTTAAACACCCTTTCTAACCCAAAGTAATATTCACATCAAGCATTCCTAAGGAAATAATTGTTGGTTTCCAGCAAAATAGGAAATGAGAACAAATGGAAACATTTGGTTTTTATGCTAAGTCTTCAGCCAGTTACTTCTCCCTATCGAGATTACTTTTTTTAAAAAAGAAAAATGTAACCTTTGCTCTTGGATCTCCCCGCCCACACACCACCACCATTCAACTCTTTCAGTAGACCAAGTTTTTTAGAGATCCTTCTTAATTCATTAGTTGAGAATTTAATGAAAATGCAACAAAACACCACTAACACCGCACCACCTAACACTGTAAATAGAGTCCAACTGTTTCATTGACATACAACATCAGCTAGTGGTGGTGTGAGGTCAATTCAGCGACAAGAGTGAGCTTGCTAGTGGAGGCCAGGAACCAATCACAGTCGCATTATATCCACTGCCTGTGGTAATAGTTTTCTATTGCCACAGTAATGCTGCATGACAGCCATAAAACTTCAATGATAAGCATTTCTTTAGCCTATGGGATCTGGGATTCAGCTGATCTGGGGAGGCCCTTCTAGTCCCAGCTGGACTTGCTCGCATGTGTGGGGTTGACAGACTGTTGAGTGATGTGGGATGGGAGACTGGGATGACTACAACTTGGCTGGGTTCTTTCCTCCATGAGCAAGCTAACTGGGTATGTTCTCATGCAATAGCAGATGTGTGGGCATGCCAGTGGGCTTTGCTGAGAACTGGGACACCGTCACTTCTGCTGAATTCTGTTGGTCAGAGCATGTTAAAAGGCTAGGCATGGGGAACAGATTCCAATTCTGTAGTGAGAAAGACAAGAGATGCAAGACACAGGGTATAGCTTCAAAGAGGGGTCCTCAGGTTTCACCATATAAACTTGTAATCAAAGGAGGGGGCTTTGGCCAGAATACTAAAGCATCCATGTCCTTGGGTATTGTTTTCATTGCAAATTTGTAGCTGGAAAAACACACATTACGTAGGAGGTTCTTCACTTTGACCAAATGAGCAGGCACATGTGATATCCTCTCCCTGCCAAGTATTTGTTGAGAAGCATACAATTTATTTTCACTTTCTGTAAACTTACCCGCTTGTTACTAAGCTCTCATTTTGAAGGCATTCTAATTGCTGGCATAGTTTTCATATTTTAGAATACTTACAGTGTATGCTTGAGTTCAGATATTCTTTTGCAGACAGCTTATTTTTGGTAGTTTTGAATTTCAAATGTGCACGTTTATGAAGCATTCCATAATTTTAAAAAAGAAAAAAAATACCAAAAAAAGGGAAAAGTTAATTAACAATTTGCCCTCAGCTTAGCTGTCTTCAGTCCAGAAAGTACAAATGTTGAATTTATAATTAAATAAGAGTTCCCAGACTGCTATGGTATGCAATTATAAATATTTCCAGATGCTACTTTTTTAGACCATTTTTCAGAGGTATTAAAATATTGATTTTTACTCATATTAATTATTTTTCTTATAAAAATTAAAACTGTTGAGAAGAACTGAGTCATTCTAGTGTAAATCTGACCTGAGTGAGCCTGTCAAAATCTAGAACATTCTCCTTCACTATAGTCTGAATCTCATGAGCTGCGTTTACCCCATGGGAAATGAGTCAACTGTACATGCTACTCGAGATGTGTGCTTCTGAGCACCAAAAAAAAAGAAAAAGCATGCTAGACACCAGATCCCCAAAATGTCAATGAGGAATTAATAAAATTAAAAAGGTAATCAGGGTTTTAGGATTAACTGGAGGATGTGAACTATGCATCAGAATCCTGCCTTGACTTGAAATTTAGTGGCTATAACAGGCTGGACAACGAAATATCCAAGTGCCTGGCACTGCTGCTGCAAACAGTAAGGGATCAAATCCCTGGGTGGCGGGGGGAGAGTGTGTTTACCTAATGGGTGAGCCCAACATAAACACGCGGTTACAGCAGTAATAACGAAGCTGGAGGGCGGATTAATAGGTCCCCATAAGAACACGTAGTGCACTCTAGGTCCCCACAGGTTGTGTACCCAAATATAGGGATCCAGTTCAAGAAAAAATGTATGGAATTAACCATCCCCTATAGAAGCACATCCCCGAATCTCCACTGTGATGTTTTCAGTGTGCTTACTGATGGTGTCAAGGGTCCTAAGAAGATAAAAGTGTGATCATTTAAAATGCAGTGGATGTAGCACTCTTTCCCCAATAAAATAACGCCCTGGTTAAATGGTTTGGAGAAACACTGCATGCTCCAGTGCCCTTGGAGATTGACAACGCACATGAATATATTAATAGCTTTGAGAAATACTGAAGGGAAGCAACCTGCGAAACTGTGTATCAGTCTGCATTTATTTCTAAAGCGTTTAACCACAGAACCCTTTGCTTCTTACCTGTTAACATCCTGCAGTGTGTACTTTGGATGCTGAATTAATGCCATAGGTTTTAATCTTGCAAATGTATATAGTCAATGATCCCATGAAGCCTAGAACAAAAATGACAAATGGATAGTAAAACAGTTATCAGTCTTAATTCAGGATTTTAAAATGGAAAGTAATCTCGTGTGCCAACCAATATATTCCTATCATTGAAGAGATACGCTAAAACCTGGGTCAGCATCAAGACAGTTTGCCCTCAGCTCAGCTCTGTCCTTGGCTCAGAAAACATGTATATTTCCAGAGAAAAACAATTTCTATCTCTAAAATCCATGTCTTCCTAAATGAGCCATGCATAGCACGCACTACAAACCAGGCATGAATTACAGAAACAGCAGGATCTGGGAATGGCTGGGGCATCCAAACGTGTTCCCTGAGGTCCCATTTTTGTTTCTTTCTTTTTTAAAAAATTTATTGTTGAAAGTATTACAGATGTCCCACTTTTCTCCCCCATTGATCCCCTCCACCCCGAATCTGCCTCCCCCACCCGCCTTTCCCATACTATTGTTTGTTTATTTCTTGACTTAATTAATAATGGGAATTTCTGGTTTCTGCTAAATCTGATGAAAACAGCCCTGGCCGGGTGGCTCAGTTGGTTGGAGCATGATCCCAAGCACCAAAAGACTGCAGATTCGATTCCCAGTCAGGGCACATACCTGGGGTGTGGGTTTGGGTTTGATCCAGGTTGGGGTGCTTACCAGAGGTAGCTGATGCACGATTCTCTTTCATATATTGCCGTCTCTCTCTCTCTCTCTCTCTCTCCTTTTCTCTCTCTAAAATCAATAACCATATCCTCGGATCAGGATTAAAAAACAACTGAAGAAAACATCATGCAGTCAGAATGTGATTGCCATGTAATAAATGGAGCTATAAATACCACTTCTTTTCTCTCCTCCAAAAAACACTTTTAAAATCTGACTCCTTTGCATGCAGGTAAAAACTGTCATATTTCCCCCCAGGACTATTTATAAAAATGTTTTATAAAGCAAAACAATGCTCTAGAGCAGTGATTTTCAACTGGTGGGCCGCAGGAATTTTTAAAACATGCGGTACCTGACTAGTCAAGGGCACTGACCTCTTTTCCCTTAGATTGTCAAATTTTAAAAAATGACAAGAGCCAGCACAACGGTAGCCACCCAGTGTGGACGCCCTGCTTTGAAGCAGAAATGTATAGGTCACATAATAGGGCTGCGCCTTATTGGCCATGTCGCATAAGGTTGCTTCTGATTGGTCAGTTCTTGGTACCGAAACCTTTATATACAAGTATAGGCACCTGGCTTTTTAAAAAGTCACTTCGGAGCAGAAAGGGTAGGTAATCCCTGTTATTATTTTCTTTGTAAATCAATAAAAACTATACCTATTTTTTGTCAGATCAGCAAAAAATGTATTTATTTTGGTGTGCCGCAGAATTTTAGTAATTAGCTTATGTGTGCTCTGAGACAAAAAGGGTTGAAAGTTGCTGCTCTAGATTGCCACAGCCTGTTTGATTTCCTAAGTCTATTTTTTTAGTGTATTGAGCAAACATTCACTGATTATTAAATTCATTTCCCACGTATTGTCGATAGCCAAAAGAGGAGTCCTCGGTAGCAGTCACTGGAAATGTGCACTGTGAACGTGAACGGATCCTCTCGAGATTTGTTACCCAGTATCCATGCTCTGAGGCTTTTAGAGAGACATAAACTGTGTAAGTGGCATTCCTGGGTCCGAACAGTTTAGGACCAAGCCCAGAATAATAGGCCACTGGCACCGGCCTAGCTTCAAAAACGAATCATTTAGTTGATTAACTGGTTTTTGTAAATGAAACACAGCTGGATATTAAAGCTGTAAATGGTCCCTGCACCACCTTCCTCGGAATCACCTGGAGTTTGATTCGGTCCTCCCGAGATCTCCTGGATACGAAGCTCTGCAGGTCAAGTTCAGGAACCTCCGTGGAACATGCCTGCTGGGTTCCCGAACCCCAAAGTAACCTGTTGACAAGGCAGAGCCGAGTGTCTCTGTAAAAGCGTAAGGGAGAGATTGCTCGAC